TCCTCCTCCTTTCCGCCCTCCCCGGCTGCGCCTCACGCCCGCGGGCCGCGGGTGCACGTTTCGAGCACGGCCTTGCCGGCACTGACAGCTCGGCGCTGCCGGCCCTGGAGAGGTCAGGCCTCCCTCCGTTAGAGTGCCGGGGCTGCGCAGCCACCTCTAGCGACTCCAGCCTTTGCGGAGGTTTGCCAGGGCGTCAGGAAACGTGTCACCTCCGCTCCAGAACCGCTTTGTGCCAGCTGTTACGATGTCCTTGCTGTTTGTCTGGGGCATTCCTAACCTACTCTTTTTCTTTAAATGGATGAAGACAGCTTGTTTCTTACTGCCCACGACTGCAGACGGAGGCCCTGTTGCTGTACGCTGGTGTGGGTGCAGAGAAAACTGCATCTACCTCAAAGAGCTGTCCGCCATCGGTCGAACGCCCAGTGCCTCCATCTGTCCTGCTAGAAAGGGATTTAACTTCGTGCTAATAATTTTACCGCCACAGAGTCAAGATACCGTCTACTGTAGGTAGCCACGTGTGTGATTATTAAAGCAGAGCCATTGCTGCGATGGAAATAATTAGCCCAGCCAGACCAAAGTGGTTTTGTGCTGCACCACCATGCTGCCTTCCCCAGCACCTCTGCAGGTGGGGGGTGATGGGGAACTCCCCGCTGCCGTGGTGCGCCAGCCCCACGGTGCTACGGGGAACGGCAGGATGCCTGTCCACATGCTGAAACCGGGGTCGTCAGCATGAAAACGTGTAACGTGGATGCAGTAGTTTGATTTTTCTGTGGAGATTTTCCCAATATCTGATGGGGAAATTTTCATTTTTAAAAGTTTGCGTGTGTGTAAGAATTTTTTTTCATATTCTGTGCTCTTGACGAGAAAGTTAAAGTGTGCACAAGAAGTAGTGTGTTCCTGCATTTGGAATATGCCTGGCTCTTTTATACATTTTTTCAGTGTGGGAGGAGTTGGCTTAACTGAGTAAATAACAGCTAGTAGCTGTGGCAGCAGTTGGTCCAGGGAATACTTAAAGCAGGTGAGATGATTTGGCCTGCCCATATGAGAATGGCAACGGCTGAACTTAAACCACTTTTCATTTTCTTGCCCATTCTTGCAAAGCAGCTTCTGAAACGAACACGAACAAAAAGGGAAGAACGCAACTAGCGGTAAAGGTGTGAAATTGGTCCTTCTAACAGGCAGCTTGTTACTTAGCAAGGAGTCCCAAAGAATGGCCGTGAAAATAAACATCAGCTTTATTGATGCTTTTTATATTGGAACATAGATTCCTGACCGTGAGGGTATTATTTTGAGACACAATTTCTTTTAATTCAGTCCACTGTAGAATCAAAAACTCTTGTATGGTGATGATATTAAGAATATATTTTCCAAGTTGAAATAGTTGAAGGAGTACTTAAGATAAAAGAGTTTTGTGACAGTTATGGACTGAGATTAACCTTAAGAGTTTTATTACTGTTCCTGAAACCTTTTCTTGAGAGATTTAAAAACTTTTTAAAGAAATGTTTATCTGAAATGAAAATGAATCATCCAAATGTGGTATTTGTTACCTGGAAGTGATTTTAAAGTTATTTCTGAAATACTGTGTTCCACATAATTCCATTTTAGGAGCTTAGACTTTTAAAATGACTGGGATTGAGTGATGGCTTCTGAAAGAGTAATGTTGGAAGTGGAAGTTCCCTTTTCAGGAAGACAGCTACAACCAAGAGCATGGCCTATTGGTCATGGCCCATAACAGTGTAAAGGAAGAAGACACAATGCAGTGTTTTTTCTGTTCATGATGTCTTCTCCCTCTTTGTTGACATCACCAAGTCAGATAACTGTTTTCATCCGGATGCCTGTTTTCATACAAGCTCAGTCAAATGATCTGTCATGCAGCCTATTGAATGCTCATCTGATGTTAATTGATTTTTCACCCTACCTGTCCAGCTGGAATGGTGATTTGAGTAGAGGGAAGACTATCCAGGTTGTGCAGTCTCTCAGCCATCTGCGTTCCTTGCAAAATCATGTGCCACCACCTTTCTTAGGGGCAAAGGGTTGTAGGCACAGAAGTTAAAAGGTTGATGAAAGTCTCATTTCTGTATCATCATGAATCACAGGATTGCGTTACTAGGAAAAATCCTAATGTTATTGCAGGGGGGGAAGAAAAAACCCCAAGCATTTTGTAGTAGGCTCCAGTCATAGTGAACTTTTCTAAAATTGTATATTGGGGGGG